ATGTGTCTATAAAAAGCAGAAAAATGAAAAAATTCTTCTTCAAAACAATATGATTAGAGGTACCTATTCTAAGAAAGGCAATTACCAGTTAGAACACATTGATAATAAGTGTACACTAAGCAGAGTGCAGGAAGTAGTAAGCAGAGTGTGCGACAAAGAATCTAAAGAGCAGTAATTCAACACGCACAGCAAATGATGCTGACAACGAAGCTGCACGGATAAACAAATGGAATGGAAGAGGCTGGGATAAAATACACAACAGGCGAACAAATCACAGACGGGCATGCTGTATAAGTAAGTATACACTGCAGTGGCGTACACTGCAATTGATTATACACGAACGTAAACATGTGAGTTTTCCTAAAAAAAAAAGAGAAAGACAGCTTCGTCTAAAGAAAACATACTCGAGAAATCTACGCTAGAAGTAGACTAATGTACCTACCAGTAACTGCTGTAGCTTATCCCCGGATATGCCCATCTCGGCCAGAGTAGTAGTTGACGGTATCTTTCTTTTCGCGGCCTTCACGGCACAAAGCTCATGTTAATACTGTGCATGGCATACGGGTCGCGGCGGCAACTGACCCCTTAACTCATCGGTGCCCGCCCACACGTTAGCAGATAGCAACGAGTTTCGTATGTAAAGTAGACAGTAAAAAAATAGCGTGTAGGCCAGACTGAATCCGCCATGTGACAACTCTCACAAAGAGAAAACAGGTTTTTTTATAACACAGACGTGACGCAACCCGTACATAAACGCAGCCAGACAAGCGCCCCCCGCTGTTTCCTTCCGCCCCCGCTCCTTCCTTCCTTCCGTTCCTTCCTTCCGGCAAAACAGTCGTGCCGATTCGACCGCGCTCTCCTCCAAAGCGTTTCCGGAACGGAAAGCGCCAACTTTTTTTTTTACCTTCGACGTTGAATCGACCAGGACGCGCGCCCGCCACGCTGCTCGCGGTGGCACGCGCGCACACACAAGCGACAGACAAGGACACGAACGAAGAGGGACCGACGACATGCTCACGTACGTAGTATTTCTCCAGGCGGCGACTATCCACCCCCAAATCCTCGAGCGTGAGCCCCGGGGGTAGGTCGACGACGCGCATGTCCGCGCTCACCGGCACGCCTTTGTACATCAGCGTGGTGGCGCCACCGTGCACCTCGGGCCTCACCAGCCGCCGAACCCTCTCCAGCGCCGCCTCGTCCTCCGCGACCCCAAGGTCGGCCAAGGTCAGATGCCCGCGGAGGTCGCCGAGGGTGGTGTCCCTCGTCACCCAGCTCGAGAGACGCGCGAGGGCGTCGTCGGAGACCCCCAGCTGAGCGAGCGTGAGATCCGTCGGCAGCGCGTCGAGTCGCGTCGCCGCGGTGACCTCCGTCGGGCCGCGCCGCCGCTGGTAGTTGCGATTGGCCGCCTGCCGCAGCCGCGGCATGTCCTCGTCGGCGAAGTCGAGGCTCCCGAGAGTGAGGTGCGCGGGGAGGCGGGAGAGCGGCGTGTCGACGGGCACCTCCCGCGGCAGCTGCGCCTGCGTGACGCCGAGGTCGCGTAGGGTCATGTCGCGCGGGAGCTCGCGAAGTTCCGTCGAGGCGTGCATCTCGACGGGGAGCACGTCCCAGTGCAGCGGCCCGTGCGTCAGCCGCTGAGCGTGCACGGCGTGCTCCCGCACCGACCCCACGCGCGTCTTCGTCGTCACGCCGACGTCCTTCATCTTCATCTGCGGAGGAAGCTCGGCGACGGGTCGGTCGAGGTTGACCTTTCTGTTCGCGTCCGCCTCGGTGACCCCCAGCTCTCGCAGCGTCATCTCCTGCGGCATCTCCTTCATCGAGGTCTCCGGGCCGAGGTTTGCGGGGACGACGTTCCTGTACAGCAGGCCGCAGCGCGCGAGGTAGGCGCGATTCGCCGCCTCTCTCAACGCGGGCATGTCGGCCTCGGCGAACCCGAGACTCCGGAGAGTCGCCTCCTCCGGCATCTGCTCGAGTCGCGTCCGGGAGGAGGTACCCTCGGGAAGCCCAAGGGCAGCGACGTCGGCGTCGGAGAGTCCAAGGTCGGCGAGGGTCATGTCGGGTCGGAGGCGGCGCAGCGGCGCGTCGGGGGTCACGTCTGCGCGGATTGCGTTCGCGTGCGCCGGATTGCGCCGCAGCGCGTAGTTCTTGTTCACGCGCTCGCGCAGCGCGGGGACGTCCTCCTTTCGTGCGAATCCCAGGTCCCCCACCGTGACGTCACTCGGGAGGCACCCGAGAGTATCCTCGGGCGAGAAGCCCTTGAGGGAGAAAATCTCCTGCGCGCATCCGAGGTCCTCCAGCGTGAGTTCGGGCGGGAGGTCGGCGACAGACGTCGCCGGCGAGAGGTCGCCCGGGGTGACGTCGACGAAGACGGGCGCGTGGCGCAGCTGGTAGTTCCTGGTCGCCGCGTCCCTGACGGCGCGCGCGTCCGCGTCCCCGACCCCCAGCGCGTGCAGCGTCAGCTTCCCCGGGAGCTCTCCCAGCGGCGTGTCCGGCGGCACGTTCTCCGGGACGCGCTCGGCCGCCGCGACCCCGAGGTCGCGCACCGTCATGTCGCGTGGCAGCTCGGTGAGACGCGTCGACGCGGAGAGGTCGGCGGGGGTCGCGTCGCGGTAGATCACGCCGTGGCGGATCTGCTGAGCCCAGCCGATGCGGTCGCGAACTTCCGGCATGTCGGCCGCGCCGAACCCGAGACCCCGGAGCGTGAGGTCGGGCGGGAGCTCGGCGAGGGTCGTCGTCGGGGACGCTCCCGGGGGAAGGTTCCCGGGTTTCACGCCGAGGTCCCGGAGAGTGAGCTCTTGAGGAAGGTCGCCGAGTCTCGTGTCCGGTCCGAAGTCGGCCGGGAGGGCGGCGCCGACGACGTCGAACAGTCCGGGGTACGCTCGCTAGCGACGCGGAGCATAGAGAAGGTAGAGGGAATCATAAAACATGCAGGAGAATGCCTCGACAGTGAATGTCAGTGAGGGAAGGTACTTGGTGGCAGGTACAGTGTCCTTACACTTACTCCACAATATACGAAAATAAATAATTCGAAAATAAGAGAAAATTATAAAATTATAAAATAATAATTATCACTACAAAATTATTGCTCAAGTGTTAAAGTCTGTCCATCATGCATACAAAAACAAATTAATAAAAAATGGGGAGAAAATCATGAAAACGGTATTCTGTCACCAAATACAATTAATATCTTAATGACAAAATTGAAAGTAATTAACAAAACTGGTTGAATTAATAATTAAATGACAGTTTCAAGCTGAGAAAATAAAAAAAAACATCAAAATAATTACTAAACAAAAATTGAAACTATACAAGCAACAGATTACGAAAGCAAAAAACAACAACAACAACAAAAGAACAAAAGTAACATAAAACTATGACACAATAATGTTTGCATCTACCCAGCGAACTAATAACAGAGATACAACACGTATGCCTTAAGACGTGGATGATACAATACTACACTTGACATTGACACTGACGTCATCTAACGACCCCTGGGTGGCTAACAAGCAGACAACTCACACTGAGGTGACAAGTGTCACAGCTACCAGCCAGCGTGGCAAACAGGACAAAGCAGCAGACGCTCGGCTGCGGTCCGGTACGTGACACAGCCAGGAGATTTCTACAGAAGACCTTTCTGAAGCGCACACAGAGAGTTCTTCCATCTACGGTCGATTTCACACACGTAGCGACAAGACTCCAGGTTTCCAACGGACGGGGGAATCCCCCAGACGACACGTCGGCGACAGAACCAAACATTCTACACTAGTGTTTCGGTTCATACCCGCAATTCTTCCAGAAGTTCATCGGTGAGTCCAAGGTCAGCAAGGGTCAAGCCAGGTGGTAACTCCTTTCGGAGCGCCTCGCGCTATTGATACATGGATTGATCATCAATATCATGATCGACAATACGCCGCTACCATGTTTGCGTTGCCATTTTTTATTTTTTATATTCATTATTTTGCGCGCAGTGATAAAACATTCAGAAATCATGTCACTGATTAGCCTTCCCGGACCGATCACGTGTATTTGTTTCCAAGAATCAGCTCCGGTAGCGTTTTAATAATGCATGCGTCAATTGACAAGTGCAATCCTGTTTACGCGTCTTTCCCTCGATCACCTCAATTTCTTACCCGTATATCGATTTTTAATCCACCGACTCACAACTCATTTTACGCGTGCGTATAACCCACGGCAGCATTCACACTCGGCTGCACTGACCTCGCCAACGTATCTCGTTGCAGATCGTCGCAAATCTTACCATGCTGTCCTGGATTCCCTCGATCTGGAATCGCAGGATAGTCGTCCATATCAGGCCCAAAATAATCGTCGGGTTCTCGTCGAGCACGTCCTCGGCGCTGATGTTCTCCAAGCGTGTCTGAACGCGCGCATCGACCATGCAAGAATCCATGCAACGAGCGCGGTTAGTGTCGCAGCATGCGGCGCGTTGTTAGTGCCCCCCCCCCCCGGTACAAACACACACCGACGACCGCATTGTATACTGCACAGCAGTGTATACTGCACGGCAGCGTATACCGCACAGCAGTGTATACTGCACAGCAGTGTATGCTGCACAGCAGTGTATGCTGCACAGCAGTGTATGCTGCACAGCAGTGTATGCTGCACAGCGGTGTATACTGCACAGCAGTGTATGCTGCACAGCAGTGTATGCTGCACAGCAGTGTATACGGACGGCTGTCTGTGTTTGCGTGGTAGATACTGCAGCTGCAGGCCTCCTGCTGGTCGCATCGCACAGCTTCCTGTAAGTCCTGCAATGCTGACGGAGCAGCAAACTGGACAGCCGGAATCAGAACAGAAGAGATTAGTTAGTCAAGGTATTAGTGAGTGCAGCTCGCTACGCTACTGTCGCCCACACCTGTAATCACGTAAAGCATGCAGCTTACCTGTGCGCCTCACCCCACCTGGACGGACCGGCCTAGTAACACCTGTAATAAACGCGCTCAACCTGCGAGCGCCGTGACGGCTTCGGCAGCCTCACTCACCATGACAACCTCGATCTCCTGAATCTGGAACCTAAGAATGACGGTCCAGATGAGACCGAGGATGAGCGTCGGGTTGCCATCGACGATGTCCTCCGCACCTATGCTCTCTAATCGCACCTAAAACACAATGCTTATCAATGAAGTGATCGTCGTTCGCGCTGTGGCCGCCACGATTACGGTGTCGTTGGTCCAAAACGAACGCTAACACACTCAACTAAGAAGACTAAGGGAGACTTAAGGAAGAACTAAGGGAGACTATGATTCGTAGCTTGATGGATTGTGTGCATCCGATAGAGTGTCAGCTAGCAAGAGAGTTATTTACGAGTGTGTCACCTGAACAATGAAAGAGCGAGAGAGAACGTGACCATGAAATAGATCACCAGTGCATAGGAGAGGGAGCGAGAAGTAAAAGCTTCGCGCGCCGTGAGAGAAGGAGGAGGAGAGAGAGATAGACAGAGACAGCGAGAACGAGAACGAAGAGAGAGAGAGAGAGAGAGAGAGAGAGAGAGAGAGAGAGAGAGAGAGAGAGAGAGAGAGAAAGCGAGAGAGAGAGAGAGTAACCGACGTTTTACAAACCAAATTAGAATGAAATACAAACGGCCAATCACTGCAAATGATAAAGAGATTGTTAACCTCAGCTACCACCACATTCTGTCATTCCATGAACCATTCTTCGCTATCACCAAAAAAACATGCAAACTCGCAGCCCTGCTGGGTGAACAGACACCGCGGGCGACAGGACCGCAGAGCCATGCAGGCACCTCGAGTGAACTCCAGAACAATTAAACTACCATTAGCAAGAATAATGTAATAGTATATAACGGTGAGAAACACAACACCGTGCAATCAATTTTCCACGCATGAAATTTTACAGCATAATCAACAAGTAAAAGCTCTCAATATTATTATAAATAAATGATGAATTAACGCATGTAATGAATGGATTTACACAAGCAATATATTTTATTCACTGCGGACGATCAAATTGAAAACCCCTGTCAGAGGAGGAAATGCTACTGGGATTTTTTTTTTTTTAGATAATAATAACAGTGGTTACGTGAAATTTATATATTTACTGTATATTATAAGCATATCTGACAAGGGTACTGGTCAATGTCCAGATTACATGATGGTTTATTAATTAAGAATCAATCAATTAAGACATTATATTGCCGATCACGCTGATTCTTAGTAACTTGCCTATCTGATATTCCACACTTACATAAGATATGTTCTTTGTTAACGTGTCAGATAAGCTATTACATTAGCTTCTATTATCTAGTGTTTCGAGACAATTGTCTCCAACAAAATTGACATTAAGTGAATTTAAAAGGCGTGGAAAATTAATTAGATGAATAATTGTGACTCATATGAGCAAATGTGTTTTTTATAATATAGATGTTCCTAACGTTTTTGGAGGCTCTCTGATCTTGTAATATTAATAAATATATCAAATTATCTTCTTTTTATCTATACAACAAGCAAAATGGTAAAAAAGAAAATGAGCAAATCAAAAAAGCCGATTTCTGTAAATTTACAACTGAACCCAACCCGAAATGGCAGTTCCCACACCCATCAGGTGTTTGAACTCAGAACTTTGAACTGGTTTAAGAACCATGCAACTGGTTTAAGAACAATATCATTATGTACAGGCAAATCCCATTTTTTTAAATGGCTGCTGAGATCCACTGTTGCTTTAAAAAACGTTAATAGCTTCATGAATGACTGATACGGTGGATCTTGAAGCCGACTTTTATTGTAGTTCACACGGTGGGCCTGCGTCGAGGGGACATACCATTCATTCCTGAGAATATCGGGTGCCTAGCCGCAGTAGCAACACATACGTCTAAACAGAGGAATTGCTCCGACCTGTGATTGGAGGATAAAAATAGACCCCGCCCACTTTTCCATTTTTGGAGGATAAAAATAAAATTCGTGACGTTTCGTTTCACCGGTCATAGCCGCGCGTGCATATTTGTATGAGCTATACCGCGCGTGCATATTTGCTAATTAATTTAATTAGATTAATCGTGCTTCAATAGACTCAAAATTCACAGAGATTAAGGCTAAGACATGTGTCTATAATAGCTAAAATTTATAGAAATGTACCTCAAATCGTTCGCTCCATATGATAGTTAGTACACGTTCCTACCGGTCATAGCATATAGCGTATGCGGCGGGAGTGGGCGGGGTCTATTTTTATCCTCCAATCACAGGTCGGAGCAATTCCTCTGTTTAGACGCATGTGTAGCACATCTATATCATCTAAACCATCTAAATCTCTCAGCAGACGAACTACTAGTGAATTCACTGAGCACGATAGAAATAAATCCAATGATAAGCCCATGAAAAGCCTTTACATACTGCTTCATATTTTGTTTGTTCAGTCGAATCGCAAATACAAAAGTAGCAATGTTATCAAACGGGCATGCCTCTACTATTTGCAATACAGTTGCTTCATGTGAAAAAAATGTCTGCGCAGTCTTTCACCAGAACACCTGTGAAGCAATGAGTGGTCTTATGATTGTTATATAAGAGTGTGTGTGTGTATAACATTTACACGCAACACGTGCATAACATCTACAAGTTTATCGCATTGTGGTCTAAACTGCACTTCCTGTCATCATTATAAAACTGGTTTGCGAGCATGATTCAACAAAATCTCTCCCTCTCGCTCCCTCGCGCGCTCTCGCTCTCTCTCTCTCTCTTACACACACACACTCTCACACATACACACACACACGCACGCACACGCACACACACACACGCGCGCACACGCGCACACGCGCACACGCACACGCGCACACGCGCACGCACACGCACACGTACACGCACACGCACAGACACAAAGCTTTCTATGCAACAGCTTTAAGCACGTTGATTTTGTTTGATTAGACATATAGCAGATGATTAGAACGTTCAGCCTATTGTTCGTGCCTATATGTTCGTGCCTCGACGCTACCCCGACCATTGTCTTCGAGGTAATCATTGCCTTCCCGGCGGCCAAATTGGCACAGGTGTGAGCCAGGGAGTTTTATTAGTAGATGCACCGGGTATCAATGACATGCAGCGAATGATGAAACAGTCCTGGGGCAATAAACACCTGTCAGATATACCTCAATAAACTGCACCTCGACTGCATTACGGCGTAAGAAACTCCTACGTGCGCGCATCACAAGAACGTGCCCAAGAAAGTACGCACGCACGTACGCACGCGCGCGCGCACGCACGCATAAGCAGGCACGCACGCTGGCAAGCAGGCGCGCTCAAACGCAAGTACGCAAACATGCACGCACGCAAACATGCACGCACGCATATAGTTTACCGATGTGTGTGTGTGTGTGTGTGTGTGTTGTGTGTGTGCGTGCGTGCGTGCGTGCGTGCGTGCGAGCGAGCGCGTGTGCATGTGTGCGTGCACGCCTCTTCTAAACCACACGCTCCAGTTCACATGTATCGGTGACGTGTGCGGAGTCCCATCTCGGAAAAACCATCTCAAGTCCTCATGGGTCACAGCAACACTGAAGCACTCGAGATACCGGATTGGGAAACATCATGTGCATTCTCCTCGGGGGAAATTATAACCGCAGTTTTTGCAGCGATTAAGGAATAGATGCTATTTGCCCCGATTGCTTTGGCAATTGCATCAAAACAGCCAAGACACACGACATATCCTAGATCTAGTATGTCATCGCAATCTATATATATTTCTGCCTGGAAGCCACATGATGGCTTCTTGGCGTGCGACTAACGTTAACAATAAATATATTGCTGGTCGCGTAGTCGCGCCATCGTCGTTGTAAACAACCGTATACATAGCCGTCAGTTTAAAAACATTAAAAAAAAATATTTCTAATGAATATTGAACCATAAAACTTTTTATGTAGCGTAATTTTAACCTATTTTAACTGAAAATATCCCAAGAACCTCGAGTAATGTATCCCTTTAACAATATCACTGGTCGCCTAGTATTACACGGTGCCCTTTAAGTTTTTAACCCTCTCCTCCCCTTCTGTCAGACACCATCTGTGCCAGATGACAGCATCGCAGATCGTGCATAATTAATCATCGGAGCCACTCGGATGTTGGGATGACTGCCATTGTTGCGCATGCAGCCTCCCCCTCTTCCACAAACTAGCGGGAGCAAAAGGAAGCATTGAGCATGGTTGCTCAACGTTGCTGTCTGATGGCTTATCACGACACGCGTGTATAATAAAACAATCGCTCATATCGCGTGGGTCGGGCCAGGCCCCCGGGGGATGGGTGGGATGTGCCATAAAGACCCGGTCATGACGAATCGCTCCCCCTCCCCCCTCCTGCCTCCCCCACAAATATCCACGCCGAACACGCAAGCGCCCAAGCCGGACGCAGTGAGTATATGTATGCATGTATGTATTCGCTGAAGCGAATCCCTCGTCAGCATATCTCAACTTGCTAAGCCACACGAGATTGACAGTCAATTTCCGCAATGGCTAAAAGGGCCGGATGGTAAAACAAGCTTGAAGCTTGCGCTGATCACGTGCGAACAAAACCCGGCCGATTTACTTCGGCTTTTTCGGGTTGTTGTACCAGTTTTTCACGTGTATAGTAAAATCGCGATTTCAACGCCGCGCTTTCCCCCCTCTCTCTCATTCTCGCTCTTTCTCTAACGATACTATACTGAGTACGCTATTAGTGACCGGTCGCAATCCGTTTGTTGACCGTCGTTTCGTTGCTGACCTCTGCGATGATAACCTCACACAACCGCACTGTTTACCTCTATAAAGAAGAAGTCCCTCCGCACCGGCTACTACGAAATTACGAATACTACCTTCTTTGTGACGACGGTACGTCAGAACAAGACCATTTACCCGAATTCGACCGAATAACAGTTTTTCGCGGTTTCCTGCTTCGCAGCATGTGTATAGCGGCGTATCACGAGACCTATTTATTTGAGAATGCTTCTTACCTGCCCTGGCGACTAGGGAGAAAGACGGGGGAAGGGGAGGTCACTTACAGAGAGCTGCACACAGCAATCACCCCACCAACATACATACAATGCAGCCAACGCACTATACACGCAAATCGATCGTACAGTTAATGCTTATAGATTGGTACTCGCAATTATGGCGCATTTAAACTGTATTCTCATTCACAAACTGGACAGAGTATGAGATATCGAGATTTCTCTAAACAAACGCAAGCACATGCACGCACGCCTACGCGCACACTCACGCACCGTCACGCACGCTCACACGGACGCGCGCGCACGCCTACACGCACACACACTTAGATAAAAGGTAAGAAACCCTATGATAAACCAATAACCTTGTTTGTTCAGAACAAGAATTCCAAATCGAAGCCCAATTTAATTCAAGCGTTTTGCGTGCGACATCAACAGGGCATGTACGATATCACTGATTGTAGTGGTTGTTTTCAGTTTTTTATTGGATGGTTTGAAAGCTTTGTTATTTACGACACGTTAGTTACACAATGCTTGCAGCCAGACAGTAAACACACATCATCGCTCATATAAAGTCATAAATGCTGCTGAAGTATACGCAATAAAAAGTATGCATCATACAACAGCTACGATAAAGCTATTTCACACATTCTTTGCAGACCTAAAGCACATCGGTCCAAAGACAGGGGTTATTGGTTTACCTATCGAAATGATTGCAACTGATATATGCTTATTTGCTTATCCGTGCGAGCAAATACCCGCAAAACTGTCTAGAAACAGTGCGTAAAACTATGAGACGGATATCTGCATTACCTTCGTCGATAGATAGTTGAGACTCTTGTTAAGGTTTTCGATCTTATGCACGCGTAGGTGGCCACGGTTGGGCTTCCCGATGCGATCGCCAGAGATGATTTCTAGCAGCTTCAGCAGCATCCGACCATCCGCCAGGTCCTTGAAGAGATCGTTCACTTCCAGGCCGGCCTGTACAAACGCACACACACACACAAGCACATTAGTACCAGACTTGCGCACAGTAACGTCATCTTATAGTTT